ATGGCCACCATGGTCACCACCCATCTTGAGGAGTTTGCCCCCTCACATATACTAATGTGCCACAAACATGACTTTAATATCACCAACCATTCCCATTTTATTACGGTGTATCCATATAAATGGCCCACCCTGTAGTTTATGTCTTTTGTACTTTCAAAACAAAACTCGTCTGTCTAAACACATTTTTTTTTAAAAGTACTATTCTTATTATTTTTTAAAACGTAATTTTAACCAAAATGTTTGTTAAATATAAAAGCAGTTTACTTATGTTGTTAAAGAAAGGCTAGATTTGACATTAATAGATGCCGCAGATGTTTAAAAGCTGCAGGTTACAATAGAATTTAAAGCTGATTTGTTAAAACAAGTGAAAAGACCATTGCAATAATTCAAACTGGAAGAAATAAAAGGATGAATAATCATCTCAAGTTCAGCTTTTGACACCTGTCTGGGTCTCACCTAATCTGAGTTTTGCAATATTCCTTAGATGATAAAAAACAGTTCTGAACTAGCTGTTAGGAATATTGCTCAAGCGTCAAATGTGACACTGAGGTTTCTATGGCTCTATTTAACAGAAGGGTCTAAGAAGCTGATATGCTGCCTAATTTCTGAAATCAGAAAGCAATAGTTAAAGTTTCTGTTTTATCAGAGTTTAGCTGGAGGAAGTTGTTGTTTAAGCATTGCTTGATTTCTGTCAGGCAATTAATTAAACTAGACAATTATTATATACAGAGAAAAAACAGTATAACTGAATGTAATCAGCATAGAGATCAGAGGAAATATTATTGTAGCACTTAATGATTTGATGTAGGGGGAATATATAGAGTAAAAAGAAAATTAGACCCAACACGAATCCCTGAGGTACTCCACATGGTAGAACTGTTGATTTGGACATCACTTTATTCATATGAACAGTAAAAGATCTTTCAGAAATATATTACGTGATCCATTTTAAAACAACACCAGTAATCCCAAACAAGTTCTTGAGGCTGTTTATCATGATACTCTGATCTACAGCAGTTTGAATATTGGCCTGTAACTGTTAGGAAGGGATTGATGCAAATGAGGTTTCTTTAATATTGGCTCAACAACAGCTTGTTTAAAGAAGCTGGGAACTGAGCCAGTATGAAGAGAAATATTTAACATTTCCGCCCTGTAATGTAACAGGAGTAAAGGAGAACCAAGTTTCAGTGGTAAGTAAACTGTAAGCTTGATACTGAGAAGATGATGAGAGATAGTTGACTTGGTGGTAATGACCTTATTTGTGAAATAATTCAAAAACTCATTACAACCAAACGTTGAGTAAACTGGTGTATTAGTAGCATCAGGAGAAACAATAGTCTTAATTGTGTTGAAACAAGAATTTAGGATTTTTCTTTCTTGAAGCTATAAGGTGTGCAAAAATACTCTGTTCTGGAACTTAGATTGTTTAAGATGTAACCTATGAACCTCAAGCTTGGAAGCCTTCCACAAAAGTTCTAACTTGCGAAAGTATCTCCTAAAATTACGAACATCCATCCATCCATTCATTTTCTTCCGCTTATTCAGGGCCGGGTCGCGGGGGCAGCAGCCCAAGCAGAGAAGCCCAGACCTCCCTCTCCCCAGCCAAATACTCCAACTTGTCCGGGGGAACACCAAGGCGTTCCCAGGCCAGCCAAGAGATATAATCTCTCTAGCATGTCCTGGGTCTGCCCCGGGGCCTCCTCCTGGTGGGACATGCCTGGAACACCTCACCCAGAAGGCATCCTTGTCAGATGCCTGAACCATCTCAACTAGCTCCTTTTGATGTGGAGGAGCAGCAGCTCTACTCTGAGCCCCTCCCAAATGGCAGAACGTCTCACCGTATCTCTAAGGGAGAGGCCAGCCACCGTTCAGAGGAAGCCCATTTCCGCCGCTTGTATACGTGATCTCGATTTTTCGGTCACTACCCACAGCTTGTGACCATAGGTGAGGGTAGGGGCGTAGATCGACCAGTAAATTGAGAGCTTCGTTTTTACACTCAGCTCTCTCTTCACCACAACAGACCGGTACAGCGTCTGTATCACTGAGGCCACTGCACCAGTCCGTCTGTCGATCACCCGCTCCCTTCTCCCATCACTCGTGAACAAGACCGCGAGATACCTAAACTCCTTCACTTGGGGGAGGAACTCGTCCCTGACCCGGAGTGGGCACTCAACTCTTTTCCGGCTCAGGACCATGGCCTTAGATTTGGAAGTGCTGATTCTCATTCCCACCGCTTCACACTCGGCTGTAAACCATTCCAAGGTGAGCTAGAGGCCATCACCTGATGAAGCCAACAGAACCACATCATCTGCAAAAAGCAGAGATGAGATCCTGAGACCACCCAAGCCCATCACCCACCAGGAACAAGTCCGACTTATTGCCGGCTATGCGGATCAAGCTCTTGCAACGGTTGTATAGGGACTGAATGGCCCGTAGCAATAGGCCAGACACCCCATACTCCCGGAGCACCCCGCACAGGAGCCCCCGAGGGACACGGTCAAATGCCTTCTTCAAGTCCACAAAGCACATGTAGAGTGGTTGGGCAAACTCCCATGCACCCTCAAGTATCCTCGAGAGGATAAAGAGCTGATCCAGTGTTCCACGACCAGGACGAAAACCACATTATTCCTGCTGTATCTGAGGTTCGACTGGAACGGACTCTCCTCTCCAGCACCCTGGCATAGACTTTCCCTGGGAGGCTGAGGAGTGTGATTCCCCTGTAGTTAGAACACACCCTCCGGTCCCCTTTCTTAAAGATGGGGACCACCGCCCTGGTCGGCCAGTCCAGGGGTACTGCCCCTGATCTCCACGCAACATTGTAGAGACGTGTCAACCAAGACAGCCCTACAACATCCTGAGCCTTCAGGAACTCGGGGCGGACCTCGTCCAGCCCTGGGGCTCTGCAACCAAGGAGTTGTTTCACTGCCTCAGTGACCCCGCCCCCAGAGACTGGCGTGTCCAGAACATATGGCCGCAGATCTGATGATCCAATTACAAAATCGATCATCAGCCTGTGCCCTATAGCATCCTGGTGCCACGGGCACTTATGGACACTCTTATGTTGGTGTTCGTTATAGCCAAACTATGGTTTGCACAGAAGTCCAACAACAAAACACCACTCGGGTTTTGATCCGGAAGGCCGTTCCTCCCAATCACACCCCTCCAGGTCTTACACTCATTGCCCACATGAGAATTGAAGTCTCCCAGTAAGACAACAGAGTCGCCATGGAAAGCACCCCCCAGCACTTCACCCAGGGAGCCCAAGAAGGCTGGGTACTCTGAACTGCTGCTTGGTGCATAAGCACAGACGACGGTCAGGACCCATTCCCTGACCTGAAGGCAAAGGGAACAAACCCTCTCGTCCACTGGGAGAAACTGCAACATACCAGCAGCAAGCCGAGGGGATACCAAGATACCCACCCCAGCCTGACGTCTCTCACCAGGGGCAACTCCAGACTAAGACAGAGTCTAGCCCCTCTCCAAGAGGCTGGTTCCAGAGACCAGGCCATGCGAGGTGAGCCCGACTACATCTAGCCGGTACCTCTCAACCTCACGCACTAGCTCAGTCTCCTTCCCCACCAGAGACGTGACATTCCATGTCCCAATTGCTAGTCTTGGTAGACAGGGATCGGTCCACCAGGACCTCCGCTCCTGTCCACCACCCAGCTCACATTGCACCTGACCCCTATGGTGCCTCCTGCATGTGGTGGGCCTGCAGGAAGATGGGCCCATGTCCCTTTTTCGGGCTGTGCCCGGCTGGGCCCCATGGACTAAGGCCTGGCCACCAGACGCTCGCCCTCGGGCACCCTCCCCGGGCCTGGCTCCAGGACCGGAAACCCTATCCCAGGCAGGGTGAACTGTTCCCTCAATGGTCATTTTATAGGGGTCTTCTGAATCGCTCTTTGTTTGAGGAGTCACTCATTACTGATGAGTGGCTCATCAGTGAGGTTTGTATAGTGTGCCTAAAATGTTGCATAATTGAATTTTGAAGCGCCCACTGCATATTTTGAAGTGAAAATTGCATACTTTAAAGCGCCAATTCATAATATGCATTCGCGTTGGTCGCACATCGAGGTGCGAATGTGCACGCGACCACCAGAGGCGTCTGGTGCTTTTTGGTCGCGTCTATTGCGTTCGGTGGGAATGCACCATAAAACTGTACCAGCAAGCTGCACAAGCAGCAAAGCCAATCACAGGCGTGATCTTGTCCATTCAACAAATAAAAAGTAAAGTTTTTGGTAGTGCTTCCTGAGTTTAAATAAGGAGAAAACATCTATATTAAATATGTTGAGATTAGCCTGTTATTTCTTTATGTTTCTTTACCTGCAGATTGGACTGTAATGCACACCGCTCACAGATAATTTGTGTTTCTGTTTATGTGTCCTCAGTTTCCCAGCATGCTCTGGCTGTAGTGGTGGAGGTGAATGAGGGGGAGATGTCTGTTCTGCTCCCCTGTCATTACTCAGGTTTATTACCAGAGTACCCCATAGTGATGTGGACTCGCAATGATCTTCATCCCAAAAGTGTCCATGTGAGACAAGAAGAAACAGATAATCCTACAGGACAAAACCAGCGTTACAGTGGGCGCACATCAATGAGGCCTGATGCTCTGAACACTTTAGACTTGAGCCTCACTCTGAAAAACCTCCAACTGACAGATAGTGGAAACTACACCTGCACCATCGGTGATAAAAGAAATGAAAAAGAAATGAGACTGGGAGATGTACAGCTGCAAGTCAAAGGTCAGCAGTACAGTGTAACTCCACCTGTAAGAAGCTGGAACGGCAGAAATTAAAGATTTTCATCCAGGGCATCCTTATAGCCTCTAGTTAGGAAGGGTTTAGGATGTTTCCATGTGGAACCTACAAAACAGTCTAACACTGATGCTAGTGCTGAGTTAAAGCACAGTAACATGCTGGACAAACACACTAATGATATCTTACATTTTACCTTTATCTAAGGCAAACTATAGTTTTTAAACACTGGTCTATTTTCAATTCACTTCAAAAGTTTACATTTTGCTTGAGGCTCTGTTTACCTAAAAGAGAAGGATATACCTTAGAAATATTAGATTCAATCTGGGTGCCATCCAGGAGGCATCCTTGTCAGATGCCCGAACCACCTCAACTAGCTCCTTTTGATGTTGAGGTGCTGTGACTATACTCTGAGCCCCTCTCGGATGTCCAAACTCCTCACCTTATCTGTAAGGGAGAGCCTAGCCACCTTTCGGATGAAGCCGATTTCAACCACTTATATCCGTGATCTCGTTCTTTCAGTCACTGAAAACATAAGTGAGGGTAGGGACGTAGATTGACCAGTAAATTGAGAGCTTTGCTTTTATGCTCAACTCTCTCTCTCTGTTACTGGTCCATCGGTACAGCATCGGCATCACTGCAGCCACAACATCAATCCATCTGTCGCTCTCCCGTTTCATTCTCCCCTCACTGAAAAAGACCCCAAGATACTTGAACTCCTTCACTTGGGGCAGAAACTTGTCCCTGGCTCGGATTGTACACTCCATCCTTGTTCCACAGGTAGAAATTCTGTCCATAAAATTTCTGAACCGAATCACTGACAAAGGGCTTTGATCCCCCTATAGTTGATGAGAACTACCAACCCGGTCTGCCAGTCCAGAGATACTAGCCCTGATCTCCATGTAACATTGTAGAGGCATGTCAAGCTACAACTGCCTCAGATGACAGCTCAGCACCTCTCTTTGCCCAAGTGAAATTTGACATTTTTGAATAAATCTGAATTGAATAGTATGGAATTGAACTGGAGAATTATTAAAAACTTCAAATCTTCACCTTCACTGCAGTGAAATGATAGAGATCAATAAAGAAACTGGTGATTCGGAATGTTGCTTTAAAACAAAAAGAATTAAAGACACACACACACAGAAACCTTGACCCAACACATCTCCAGTTATTATTTAACATTTTTTATTGTAAAGTGTTGTTGTTGTTGTATATTAACACGATTGGCAGGACAGTAGTAGAGGTCAAGGATACACTACCCAAACTAGATCAGTACTATGACTATCATCTTCTGCTTTTGTAGCTGATATTGTGGTTTATTGTTCTCTCAGACCAGCAGGTGGAGGTGAAGGTGGAGGAAGGGTCACAGTCTGTGACCTTGCTCTGCAAAACAACACTTGACCTGCCTGAGGACACCACAGTGGAGTGGACTCGCTCTAACCAAGAACATGTGATGGTCCATTTGTATCCAAACAGAAATGACCACCTTAGAAAACAGGATGACCTTTACTGTGGTCGCACAAAGATGAATGATGACCTACTGGAAACTGGAGACCTCAGTCTGACCCTGAAACACCCCACAGAGAGAGACAGTGGAGGATACATCTGCACCATCTACAGGAACAAAGACATCCTGAGACAGAAAGTAGTGCTGCAGGTCAAAGGTCAGAGATGATGACACAGGTCAGTGGTTAGTGCTATAGATGCAGTTCAGATGTCATATTTTTGTTTCTCCGCAGAACCATTTCCATTCTGGGTGAAAGCTCTCCTGGTGGTCCTGCTTCTCCTGCTTCTTGTTCTCATTGTTTCTGGAGGACTCATATTTCATTTCCGACACTATTTCATGTCAGGTGAGTCACTTGTTAATATTTGTCATCTGGTGGTTTGTTGACTTCAGCTACAAACAGCTGATACAGAGAGCTGAAGAGAAACTTCCAGGTTTGTTCCAGAAGTCAGAAAACCTCCTTCAGACTCAGTCATTGATCAGTGAAACAGCTCCACAACATGACTTTACTAAACAGTGTGTGTGCTTCACTGCATTGATCTGACACAGAGGCTGCATGTGTACAAGCTTTTCTGCTTCTGTGGTGGTAAACAGCAGGCTGACATGGAAACGTGCTGACAGTGAGGGGAGTGTCCAAATTCAAGGTCTGCATCCTTGGAGGACCTGGCCTTCGCGGTCTACATGGGCCGTGTCCTCGAAGGCCGAAAGTGCGAGGCTTGTGAAATGGGAATTCTAGCCTCCGCTCTATCACACTGGCCATGTTGCCTAGCAACCACAATACTAACAGATGGAAAAGTGTCATACAGCTTTGGTTGACAGAAATGAAGAAGACAATCTTTTTGTCACCTGTTTGTTTTTATATGAGCTTTGTTTGATTTGATAAGTATCTGAGGCTGAGACCACGGGACTGTAAAAACATGATTGTTGGGCTTCAATTCTGTACTGAACAGTCATTTTAGGATTAGCTAGTAAATAATAATTAGCTAATGTTGTTCATGAGACTAAAGTCATATCAGTTTGGTAATGAAAATATAATATGGCCAATATTAAAGTTATTATTATATTTATCATGATTAGTTATTACAGCAGTGAGCTTGAACTCTTTGTCAAATACTGAGCTTCAGTAAAGATTTAAGTTGCAGTTATTTATATTTCCTATTACCTTAAATCTTCACTCAAAGACAAGTATCTTTGACGGTGTATCTATAGATGGATTATATATAAGAGACAAATATTGTTCATTTAATATGTTGGCATTACATTACATTTGGCTCAATGCTTAAAAAATATGTGTAAAAAGAAAATATATGAGCTGTGAAAACTGTTTCTGATAGAATGAAGAGTAGCTTGATATATTAAATATGCCTTTATTGGGTGAGAAAATCACGTCATGTCATAAGTGCTTTAAGTCATACAGAATAGATATCAGAGCCTTAAACAGGCTGACTTCTGCTAAATGGGTCAAACTGGGCAGAAAGTCTACAAACACATAACATCCTTATAGAATATGATGTAACACTATAGATCAACTTACCTCAGAATATATAAAGCTATCAGAGTTTTACCCCTGATACTGCTGGATAAACAGAAACTCACTCAGGAACGAGGTCACACAGAGCTCAAGTTTTCACTCGCGAGAGGGAAGCAGTTGTCTCCAACCCACTTCAACTTGCTTTCCCCCTGCAGGTTGTTTTTATTGGTTACACACGTGAATATTCATAAAGCTTGTTGCTGTATTACCTAAGATAAATTGCTATATCTGGTTACAAAGTGTAATTGTGCAAGCATGGTTATACAATGTGTGTGGTTATATGATTGGAGTGCAGCCCTCCCAGGATGTTGTCGGTATCTCGTCCCAGCCAGGTGGCTTCCTTCATTGAGTAGAATCTGTTCGTCTCAAGGCTGATTGTTCCCTTTATCGAGGTCATGCATGTACTCATATGCGTGGGTTACATAGAGAGCAAACAGAAGCATTCTAGCTTTTTAAATGGTAACCTAAAATACATACATTAAACCTAACAAAAGCATATAAATAGCATATATAGTACTACTAATCCAAAACACTCAAAGCTTCATAGAACTGAAAAAAAAGAACTGAACAATTATGGACAGACAATTAGTTATGTTAAACTTTCCTAGCAGTCCTTCACAAACTTGGAACAGTCTGTCTATTCTCTCCATCTGTCAGCTGCTGCTGGCTCTTCCTCCTCCTCTTCCTCACACACTGCTGAGTTTGTCCTGGTGGATCATCAGGGGTGCAAAGCCTCACAGATGATGTGCAGCAGTGGGTCCCTCAGTCTGTCCTCACTCTGGACACTTGCAGTTGTCACACATGGAAATCAAATGTGTGATAAGCTGCAGAATTCAAACACAAGTGTAACTTATAAACACATGTTCATACTTTTATTACACAATCAGAGAGAAAGAAACAGAGAGAGAGTGCAGGACAGACAGACAGGTAACAGTCTCAGGTGTATACACTGCTACAAAACAGCACAAGAGAAGGAGGATTTAGTGTTTGTGTTATTACGAGTGCTAAACAAGAAGAGTTCCAGATGGTACAGTGGACACATGTGTGACTCCTATGATTAAAGTATCTTTCTTTCAGCTTAATGAGTGAACCGTCAGCTCGTTCAAACACACGTTAAAGTCCGTTTGGCTCGACACCACCGAACAGAGGCAGCAATATAACATAGCTAACATTAACAGTGCAGTGAATCCTGCTTGTGCCGTGATATTCAGGACTGCAAACTGAGCAGCATCAATGACTTTCAGCTTGTTGTGTTTGCGGATATATGACTGACTTCAATTATCCATAAAATCATCACATTCTCTGTAAGATTAAGGTCAACAATTGAACAACATATATTTTACAGTAAAGGCTTTATAGCCAAGTTAACGCTGAAAGTACAAACATCACTAATGTCACATAACTTTGCCGACATGTGGCCAACAGTAATATATTAATGTTCTCCGTTATTAAACACTTGCATGTAAATAAGTGACATAATATTCAGTACTTACTTTTAAAAGTTTAGTCTTCAGCCAACCCGCTTCATCCATCCGCTGTTTTGTTTTTTTTCTGAAAAATTATCCACAACAACCAACACCAATTCTGGCGGCACGAAGGATATAACTGAACCATCCTTCAAATTCAGGGAAGTCAAGGACACATTTGTTGCCTGCATTTGGAGTAGCCTTCGAATTTGGACAGGCTTCATCGCATCACTGTGATGTAATCGGCCTTCAAATGCTGCCTTGAATGATGCAGACAATGAATTTGGACACCCCAAAAAAGTTGCAGAAGCTTCAGTTCAGCTTCCTCCTTGGGTTGTGCTCAGTCATGTGGTGGGGAGCTTCAGATGTTCAGAGCAGACACATGAGAGCTTCATGGTTTCTGCGCTCATAAGTGTGAAACATGTCCGACTGTATCTGCAGCACTTTACAGAATGCTGCAGACTAGTTACCAAAGAACGAGTCAGGAACACATCAGGAACAAATTGAGACACAATCTGACTGAGACTAGAAGACATGGAGGGGACAGGGAGGTCATGTGACCATCACAGCTGCTGACGTCATCATGTTGTGATTTGTTATTCTCTCAGGTTACAAAGTGGAGGTGGATTCAGGAGTCGAGTCTGTCCAGCTCCCCTGCAAAACCACAGTTTGCCTGCCCAAACAAGCTAAAGTGGAGTGGAAGGACATGAAAGACAGGAAAGTGCACGTGTATAAGAACAGCTGTGACCAGAATGAAGAGCAGCACCAAGTTTACAAAGAACGAACAAAGATGAATGAACACCCACTGAAAACTCGAGACCTCTGTCTGACCCTGAAATACCCCACAGATGGAGACAACTCCACCTACACCTGCACTGTCTACAACAGGGAGGGAACAGTCCTGATGGAGAAACAAGTGGAGCTGAAAGTCAAAGGTCAGTGCTGTAGATATAGGTCGAGCTTTAGATCAGACACTGGGAGAAAAAAACCCATATTTGACTCTGCATCAACTTGAAGAGGACTCATAACTGCAAAAAATATGTGTAGTCCTTCTACTAGGGCTGGGCGACATGGCCAAAAATCCATATCGCGGTATAATTTGAAGCATGTGTGGTAACGATATATATCGCAATATATTATTTTCTTCTGTACAGTATACAGTATGTTCCCCATTATAAGGCAAACTTAAAATCCTTTACTTTTCTCAAAAATCGACAGTGTTCATTATACTCCGTTGTGGTTGTGCTTACTGACCTCAAACCGATTTTATGTGGTACACAGCGCTCAAAAATCTGTCAAATAATGTTTTAGTACAACTTTGGCAAGCTATGAAGCGGCACCACTTGATGAATTGGCGGAGCATTACAGCTACCATAGTCAGGAGCCTTGTGGGGTAATCTGGGTCCAAAACTCCGTCCACTTCAGGTCCCAAAGTCAAATGAACACTGCGGCATCAGTGAGAGTTAAAAAATGTCTAAACTCTTTCATCTTTAATATAATGATCAGCGTTTCTGCTTTATCAGGTTTAACATCCAGGCATCCATGAAAACAGAATTGATTAGAATGAAGTTAGCAGGAAGTTAGCTCGCTATTTTCCACCTAAACATGATACATGTTCTGACTGAGAGATTTCTGTCAACATTAAAACAAAGAGCTCTGCTATCACTTCCAACATAAATGAAGACCGAAAACTAAACAGCAGTGACGTTTGTAGGGTTACTGAAGTTGGGCTAGCTGATATATAATGATATGCTACATGATCACTAGCAACACGGCTAGGTTAGCATAACATAAACAATGAAGCTAGAGGATGAACGCTAACTTTTTTCCACTCAATAAAAATAACGAGAGGGTTTTGATGGTTAGGGACAAGTGCTATCGCATGACAGGATAATCCATCCACGATACCAGGTTAGTAGTAATATACCTATACTTTTTTTGCCCTTTAGAAATAAACATTGATACTTCTAAAAACCGTGTATTCCCACACAGCATTTAATTTAGCTAGTTTAGGAAGATTTCACTCTTCTAATAGTTTCACAGGCTATTAGTTTTTAAATAGAGCACCACAAACAACATGTATTCTTTTAGAAATAAACTGTGATACTTCTAAAAGTACATATTCACACCTAGTCACACCCTGTAACAGTTAGACAGAGGGGGTGCAGTTAGGCTCCCAACAGTCTGTAAAAAGGTATGAAGCAACAAAAGAGGCTCCCTTATCAAGAGCATCCCAGCCCAAAGGTGTTTCTTCACAAACAGTTAATGGCTTTAATGCAACTAGTCTTATAATTATCTACTAGTCTGCAACAGTTAGACTCGATGATTACACATAGATGATTTAACTACTTTAGGGGCATTTCACTTTTCTAAAAGTTTCACAGGCCAATAGTTTTAAATAGAGCACCACAAACAACATGTATTCTTTTAGAAATAAACTGTGATACTTCTAAAAAACACATAGTCACACCTAGTCACACTCTGTAACAGTTAGACAGAGGGGGTGCAGTTAGGCTCCCAACAGTCTGTAAAAAGGTATGAAGCAACAAAAGAGGCTCCCTTATCAAGAGTATCCCAGCACCCATCTCAACTGTAGTTCCATACATTCCACATTTTTTAATTACAAACAAACAGTTAATTCCATTATCTTATCTTTTTTTGGAAGTCGAATTTCCCAGAGGAACCCACCCGAGGGATTAATAAAGTTCTATCTTATCTTATCTTATCTTATCTTATCTTATCTTATCATGTCAGAGGCCAACAGAAACCTTGTCCAACAGAGTCTCCAAAGGCTTTCCACCTTTCTTCCTTACATCGTGCTCTTTTATCTCTACATCTCAGAGGTCAACTGAAAGTAGCCCCACCTATATAAAAACACCCCATCAGACACACAGTATTTTCCTCAGCACTTCACAACTGCCACAAGGTATATCGTTTTAACTTTTTATTTTTTCACCTGAATGTGCGTTGGAGCCAACTTTGCTACCCGCACAGAGCGTTTCTGACAGTCGGGCGCTGCTTATACAATAGAGAAAAGCAACAATACAGAGTGTTTCTCTGCTCCAAGAAATCCGAGGGCCTTTCACAAGGTAAGCATGTCTGTTATACCCAGGGCATAAATGTCTGTATGTCGGTGCTAATTATTCAAAACCTGTTTAAAACATGACACATATGTTGTCCGAAAACAATTCCTCTAAATTTGCAAAGTTACTGATTTAAAAAATATATATTTTTGAATTTTAAGTTGCATGTCAAACATATGATAGACTCTTGAGCATATTTATATAGCTAAATTCACAATGGTATAACCGTGCTAAATAAAAGAGGCCCAAGTACCAATGCACTCTAATCCA